CACCTCTCCCCCTAGGGATCTTGCTATGATATATAATCAGTCATCTATACACAAGTACTCATCTGAACACACACACACACACATTCACTTAACCGCACACCTTCTACTCAATCAGTGTCCCTTTGCTTTATTTATTGCTGCCGCGCTAGACTCATGCGCCTTCTAAACGCTTCCTTACTCTGTTTGCGTACAAATTACTTCTAAACCGGGCTGCAAACATTACTCAGTCAGACACTAAACACTTCTGACACGGCCAAGGTATATCGGCGCAGGTTTAACGATTTCTTGATGTGCTCCACCACCTACTGCTATGAAAACCTTCCAGTTACTACCTTTACTTCTCACTACGTGTAGCGATATATATCATGAAATGAAATGACAACATATTGACACATGCACACACATGCGCACGCACGCACGCGCACATACGCGCACGCACACACGCACACACGCACGCACGCACGCACGCACGCACGCACGCGCGCACAACTCTTGACCTGATTCCCGTAAGATCCGATGAAAATCGGATGGAATTACAAGCATTCGTCATTAATATAGAAGTAGATTAGATTAGATTGGATTAGATGTATAGATGCACACGCACACACATACTCTCTATAGCGTAGAAGCCACAAGCTCTCAGCCCTTCCCCACGCACAACGTTAGCACTTAGAACGCGTGACGTGGGCGGGTTTCGTCTGCGTTATAAATTGAACGTGTCGCCATGGCGACAATATAACAAGCTTAAGCCATCTGCAGACGTTGCCGGCGGCGCATGCATGCACGGTGCGAGACGCATGTTAAACGTCAACGTAATTTCTATTCGGCCCACACAAAGTCACACATACATTCATTCTGCACCCGTATAAAGGTCGATCATACATCCAACTGTATACGCAAAAAAAAACACCACCGAAATCCAAAAATTATGAGTATTTAAGACATGTGAATGAGTTCACTTGATAACGACCGACTAATTACAAGTTGACACATTTAATTAACAAATCTCGCGACGCGATGGTATTTTCGTTGTGTTACGATGTGTTAATATTCTATTTTTCTATGCTACATAAAATCCGAGTGTTTTTCAAGTTAGTGTAATCGGTGATATATCCGCTGTGAGGTGAGACTATATTTCACTATATTTTATTCGGATTAAGCGTTTCTGAGCAGGAATCTCGGAAATATTCCTCTAACTGTAGACGTATATATAGCTAATACGTATAAGACGACTTCCAATCCTCCCACCGTCTCTATACAAGTGTATACAACTCTATACTCAGCCAATAGACCGCCTGCCCCGTGCAACACAGTGGTTATCCGATAGCGCAAAGAATAACGCTCGTATTACAGCTCACGAGACTCCGGGACAACACTGAGCTGTGTTTACGCACGGCTGGTAAACAAAGACGCTGCGGCGGTATAGCCGCGGAACCACAAAACATAGAATAGAAGAATACACAGACTATGCGTTCTAAAAAAAACACATTAATATAGGAAATTTACCGCGCATTATATTAGCGGGTAGATTTTACTTGTCGAGATTTTACTCGTAACGAAGCGATGGCAAGCGTGGAATACGATAGAACGTGTAATCACGGAATGCTTACGTGTTATCATTCGATTTGATTTGATTACTGCATATTTCGGCTTCAACGCCTCGCCGCAACTCTAATTAACTTCCGCAAGTTTTAATTAATTAACGCAACTTTAATGTGTGCCTGAGGAAACACCACCGCCCGCGTACATGGCCTACGCATATCCATTACTCGAAACATTCCATTAACTGCTCGATTGTATACGATCTAAAGCATTTGCGTCTGGATTTTGTACATAATTCTACCTAGTTCTACACCTTAACCGTAATAGAGATCTTCGTATCTGTCTCATCTCCAAACTACTTCATCTTTCATTTCTACATTTCATCTGGACACGCGGGGCGTGTGCTACATAAGATGGGAGCGTCATTACAATGCGATCGGTTTCTCTACCGTCTGCGGCTTGTAATCAAGAAACTACAAGCATGTGCCCCGTCCCACACTCCATCACGATGTGCCAGACCCTAGCTTATATTACTCATCTAAGCTCCCTCCTTCTCCTATACACGCACGGATTAATCTACCACGAATATCAGCTTCTGAATGTACGGATAGAATATCTTCACGGTTTATATACGGCCTGCGTTAAAAACATGCTCATCGGCATTGAAAGCTGATACGTCGGACAGACGATACACACCCGTGAGCTTTTCGTGTGTACGCGCATGTACGTACACGCGTCCGTGCGTGTGCGTGTGCGTGTGCGTGCGCGTGTGTGTGTGTGTGTACGCGCATGTACGTACACGCGCCCGTGCGTGTGTATGCGTGTGTGTACGCGCATGTATGTACACGCATCCGTGCGTGTACGCGCATGTACGTGCACGCGTCCGTGCGTGTGTATGTGTGTGTATGTGCATGTACGTACACGCATCAGTGCGTGTACGCGCATGTACGTACACGCGTCCGTGCGTGTGTATGTGTGTGCACGCGCGAAGGTTACCCGATGATGACATAACCGCGTTCTAAAATGGCTTCCGAGTGTCGAACGACTTGCTTAGCCGCGCTAGTCAAAACAACGCGAACGCTACTTGTGTGGCATATAGAGATACACGCGCACACCACCTCCTGAAACCACGAAAATATCTCAATACGCTACATACACGTGGCAGAAGCGTGTCTGCATGTGAAGACATCCAAGCCGGAGCGTGTGTGTGGAAACAGAATGTAGGAGAGAGAGCGCAGCAGCCGAGCGGCAGCTGAAAACGCGAGTGCCACTCCCATATCTATACGGCAGCCAGACGAACATGGCACGCACACGTAGCCAGCTTCTCTGCAGCTGTAAATTTCTAAACATAGTAATTGCCTACTACAGCAGCTAGATCAATCATCAAACACTTAGCTGATTACACTGCTAAACTGTCAAAAACACAAAACATCGAGCGATGTGACGTCCCATATTGATAGATTGAGTCGCAATGAGTTTTCTACGTCACGACCGTCTATTTACACAGCATCGAACGCCAAAATAGACAGCATAGTCTAGGATTTAACCAGATAGAGTTAACCATCTCATAATGGTATTTTTAACATTATAATTTGTATAAAAAAAAGTCTAGTGCTACTTAGGAAGATGTATAATTACCATGTATAATGACATATTATGTCGTTGTTTGACAATATTCCCCCCAACTTTAATCCTTATTTCCGAGCTCTACACAGATGGTTAATCCGAGCATCAGTTTACAATCTGCACAAATCATGCAACTGTGCTATCTAATGCTAGTGTTTACATTATGTTCCCGCGGCCACTAGGCAATCACGGTGTTCAGGCCACCAGTGGACAAAACGGGAGACGTGAGACCACCGGTGGGGAAAATGGGCAAACGTGACAGCGCCAGTGAATTGCCGGTATGCTGCGAACAGATTTTTAAAACTGTCAGAAAATTTTCACGGCCAGTCACTGGATGAGAAACCCTAGTAGGCGTAGTAAAACGGGGTGAACGCAATCAAAACGTCGGCAGGTACGTAATAGGCTCGTAACAAAACTTGAGGCCGTCCGTAGTCCGGACGCGGAAAGCCACTGTGATATAAATATTCCCCGCGCATCTGACGCGTCCTTTCAGTTTTGTCACACTTCTGCCGCGTTTAGTGCGCGTTTTGCACGGTTGCTGCGAGTTTGTCACGCGTTCTTCACGGCAAGCTTAAGGGTGATGGTAGCCTTTCCGTCACGTTCCACATCACCGGCGCGCTCCGGGCGTGTGACGGTTTATCGGCCCGGCGCGCTACGGCCGTGCCGTTCTACGGACGGTCTGACACGGCGGCGCGCGCTGGGAGGGGAGTATATAAAAGCCGGCCAGGCAGCGAGAGCTTCATTCGAATTCAATCCAAATCTCAGGATTAGAATGATTGA